TATATATATATATATATATATATATATATATATATATATATATATATATATATATATATATATATGAGCTGCAGTGACGCCGTCTGCCGTTGTATACTTATACATTAAATCAAATTGAACAAAAAAGTCCTTTACTATTTTGTAAATTTCCATATAGATTTTTTAGATATTAATTAAAGAAAATTTATGGTATACAATCATATATGTAACAAGTTTCTTTAATATTTAAAAATCTATGTGATCATTTGCAAAATGGTAGAGGACTTTTTTGTTCAGTTTGACTTTCACAGATTGACAACAATTAATAATTTATTGTAAATTAATCTGAATAGAAATAGGTGAAGAAATAGGTTAAGAGGATGAATTGTATGTCATGTTAACTTACGACAAATTATTGATTGTTAGAGCAAAAGGGAAGTGCACGGAATATCTTACAAATTTGTTTAATCGATTGCAAGTGTTATTTTATGGATATATATTTTTATTTTAACGTATTTCGCAACAATTTTTAGCATGCATTTTCTCGCTTCTGACGTCATAAAAAAGAAATAGACAATGCGGGGAGCCAGAAGTCTTAAACATAAAGTATAAAGAGAATTCATATTTTCACGTGTAAATTAAAAAAAATAACCTTTGTTGAAACTGCACGATACTTTGTTTAATTGCAATATACGTATCAGTGCTTTAGCTCAAGAGGCAGAGGGCAACATGGAAGCAGTCCAACCACCGTTATTTCTACGTTTCATCAATCTATTAATGAACGACGCTGTATTCCTTTTGGACGAAGCTTTATCGAATATGACACAGTTAAGACAGATGCTTCAAGCTAGGTATGTTCATGAATGCATACGATGCATCATCTTTAAGGGTGTATCTCAAAAATAAAGAAAAAAATGTTGAAATAAAATGAGAGATTAATTTGTATTATATATAAAAGTGACTATAAACAATTTGACATTTCTATAACATATGTTTTTATGAAAAATAAAAATATTAGCATGTTTTTGATTTAGTCAATGACTTTTTGCGTTATATAGGCAATACATCATTAAAATGATTCATAATAGATTTACACTAATTGTGGTTTTTTCCTAATTACAAGGGAAAGCGGTGAATGGAATAAGCTGCCACAAAATGAGCGCAATCAACAAGCTGGTTATCTTGAACACATTGGTATGATCGCTCGCTTCGACAACATTTTGGGCAGGAAGACCATACAGACGATAAAAATGTTGACTAATGAAATCAAATCCATCTTTTGTCATCCGACCATGGTGGATCGTATCGCTTCTATGCTCAATTATTTACTGCTGCAATTAGTAGGGCCGAATAAAAAGAATTTGAAGGTAATTTTATAAAGTTCAAAGTATTCTTCAGGAAAACGATATCGTAATTCTGTATCTATTTGAATATAGGTGAACGATCAAAAGGAATATGCATTCAACCCTGCGAACTTAGTGCTAAACATATGCGAGATTTACATTAATTTAAGTAAAAGTGAGAGCTTTACACTAGCCGTGTCGCAAGATGGACGTTCCTACAGTTCAGAACTTTTCAAACTCGCGGATAATGTGCTTGGTAAGCTCTCGTGTGTCTTTTTCGACAAATTTACTTGTACTTGCAGGGTGAAAAGACAAAAATCTATTGTGTCGTAGTTCGTATTGGTGGTGTGGGTATCTTGGGAGATTTGGATCAATTTGCGAAGAGCGTGGAAAGAGCCGCGAGTCAGAAACGAGAAGAGGATGAAATTCTGACAGGTATTCCGGACGAATTCCTCGACCCGATTATGTCAACCGTCATGACAGATCCTGTGATCCTACCGTCGTCTCGAATAACTATCGATCGACATACTATAGCAAGGTATATATCATTATATAAATTCAGCTTACGTAAATATAAACGTAGAAAAAAATGGTATAAATCAATTGTAAAACAAAGAACAAAGTCAAAATAACGGAGTGTATAAAGTAAAAAATATTTGTACAGATTTTGTCTAAAAAACAGAGATATTCGTGTAGAATCTCCTATCAAGCGTTATACCTAGAGAGTAAATTTATGATCCATTTATTACAGTCTCTATAACCCAGTAAACACAAAGTATCATCGACATTACAATGTCAGCTCAATCATATGGTATATTACGTAACTGTTACTTTGTTATATAACAAAGTAACAGTTACATAATGTACCATATAATTGAGCTGACATTGTAATATGGATGATACTTTGTGTTTACTGGGAATATTATAATTTGTTAGAGATCATGCGCCGAATATAAAGCCGTTTGTTTATATGTACCTCATTTTTTATTGTGCATTTTATGCATTTTATTATGCGTTTATCTACTGGTCCAAAAAATTAATTGGTGAGAGACTCACTTCGTGGATGGTAACCGCTAGTTATTTACTTTTATTTATAGTTTTTTTATGCTCGAATTCGTCGTCAAAAATGGTATATTTAGCATTTATAATTTTACGTAAGTATACTTTACTAAATATATTTCAGGCATTTGCTGAGCGATCAAACTGATCCTTTCAATCGATCGCCACTTACTATGGACATGGTGAAGCCGGATGTAGAACTTCAACAAAAGATACAGGAATGGATCTCGCAGAAAAAACAAGAAAAAATACAAAATACTGTTTCATAATTTATCGTCAATCATTATATTATAATGGTACGATATCGAAACTCAAATACACAGTCTTCAGAATTGACAGATTATATGATGTATCAGAAACGATAAAGCTGCATTACTGAGTAGAAAATTTGGACTTGAGATTAGTATTTTAATTTACACGAAAAGCGATACATAGAAATGGTTCGTATTATATATAGTATAATACATAATACGATGATACATCGTTGTTTACATCGAGCTTCATCGAGATCTTATTGCTCGATATTCAACTTGTCCATAACGATAGATAGTAATTTTGTATAAAAAAACTATACAAGTATAAACTATATAATAGAATTATATATATATATATATATATATATATATATATATATATATATATA